GAGATATGCCAAAAACACGGAGATTCAAAAAATAAAAATAAAATCAAAAGGAGGGAGATGATTGCAGGGGACAATGTCGGTGATAGAAATTGACGATGCTGATGAGTTTGGATGACGTAAGATTTATGAACGATAAAACTGATTTAGGTTTTTTAAAGACCTTTCAAGCTGTTTTCAGGTAGTTTTATGTTTAAAAAAATATCAGTAACCAATTTTCAAATTTCAGCAATTAATTTACCAAAAGAAAAGTTAATCAATCCAAAAAGATGAAGTCCAATAAATTTTTCATTAATTTTTTTAATAACTTAATTATTTAAAACTAGAAAAGTACTCGAGCAATACAGCGAGACACATCTCGATTTTAATGTTCTATTTTATTATTTGTCTATGTCGATAATACGATTTTGTGTGTTTTAAAAAAAACAATAATGATTTTATTTTTAAATAAATATAAATTTAAAGATATTATAAAATTTTGAAAAAAAAATATCAATATTAATATCAAATTAACTATTTAAAAGTTTTCATTTTTATGTAATTTCTTTANTTAATTTAATATTAATATTGTTTATTTTTTCAAAATTTTATGATATTTTTAAATTTATATTTAATTCAAAAATAAAAATATTTTCTTTTTCTCAGAATCACATAACATCATAATATTGATATACCCAAAATATAAAACGAAACATTAAAATCAAGATGTATCTCATTACATTGCGCTAGTATCCTTCTAGTATATTTAAAATGAGATGTTTATTATGTGTTGATTATGTTTAGGAGTAACCTGTATGAATTCAAACATATAACTTTAAAAAAAAATTATTTATACATCATTTACTTGTAATCTTGAATTTTAATATGAATCATTAAACAGTATCTGATATATTAAAAATGGTGTTTAAGAATTCTATACAAATGTTTTATAATATAGTATAAATAAAGCAACGTTCATTAATTCAATTACTCCACCAAGAAATCAACTTACATATTACAAAAGATTTAATAAAAAAAAGAAAATAAAGATTTTTTAAACTCCTTGATAGGTGGATTTACCCTCGGTGATTTGTCAATAATATTAAAAGTTATTAACGGATTAACAAAAGATTGTCATATTATCGTCAAAACCATATATCAGTTATCGTTATTGACAAATTTTCCACGTTGGATACCTCGTTCTGGTAACTACTCTATCATCATCTTTTTTTCAAATTGCATTGACGACACTCTATCATCATCTCTCGATTTTGATTCCATTAGTAATGAGGATTCGGAATATCACACATTGATCACTCAAAGAAAGATTCAACAACTAAAAGAAAGATCGATTCTTTGGGATCCTTCTCCAAGTAGCGTAGCCGCTCTTAGGGGTTGTTTGACAATTACTGAATGGTTTGGTGCATAATGATTAATTGGTCAGAATGATTAAAAGACTCTCATGGGATAGTGCAAAATGAAATATAATTGTTTGATAATTGTGTACAATGAAATTAGGGCTCTTAATGGTTAAGGGAGATTCATGATACAAAATCATTCAGAGGCAAACTTTTTTTTTTGCCAAACAAGATTCACCTCTTAACGATTCAGATGTTGCCTCTTAATGGAACTATTAAGAGGCAAACAAACAACCCCTTAGCTTTTAGCCGCAAATTTCAAGTTAAAAACAAATATTGCATATGTACAGTTTACAAAACATTTTTTGAATTCGAAACACTAACTAATAACCGACTAATAAATATATTTAATAATAGGATAATTATAAAACATTAATTATAAATTAAAAGTTATGATTTATTAAGAAATTTTAGATTAAACAGAAAAAGGTAGGGCCGACTCAATGCCTCAAAATTTAGTTTTAGTCATGTTTAGATTTACTTTAAGTATTTAAGATGCGTTTTAAAACCGCAAGTCCAAGAGTGTGAAAAAACGGACAACATCTGGCACGGTTGGCTTAGATGTTATATTATCGTCTCCCCATTGTTGTCGGTTCTTCATACACCTACCAACACCATTGGGTCCTGCCATCGATCTCTCATTTTTATCTTTTTTTTGTCTTTCGATTTTCTCTATTTTACAACAACTTGATGGAACATGAAGAGATATGTCAAAAAACACGGAGATTCAAAAAAGAAAAAGAAAATCAAAAAGAGGGAGATCGATTGCAGGGGACAACGTCGATGATTGGACGATGATGATGAGTTTGAATGACGTAAGATTTATGAACGATAAATCTGATTTAGGTTTTTTTTAAGACCTTCCAAGCTGTTTTCAGGTAGTTTTTTGTATTAAAAAAATATTAGTAACCAATTTTCAAATTTCAATAATTAATTTACCAAAAGAAAATTTAAAAAGTTAATCAATCCAAAAAGATGAAGTTCAATAAATTTTTCATTAATTATTTTAACTAGAAGAGTACTTGCGCAATGCAACGAGACATATCTCGATTTTAATATTTTATTTTATTATTTGACTCTTTCAATGTTATAATACGATTTTATGTGTTTTTAAGAAAACAATAATG